CTTACCCCTCATGGGGAATATAAGGGGTAAACCATTTCCTCTCCCCATTTATTTCAAGCTCACTATGGCCAATAATGGAGAGGTTTTACCCTTACTAGGGGCATTAATGACATTTGTTCAGCTAATGGTTTTTAATTTTTGTGGCATTATTGTCTATGCAGTGTCATTCTGGGGATGGTTTTACAAATATGTATGATGAAACACTATGGACATGAGTAGGACATCAACCACTGTTGATTTGCAGTAATCAAATAATCAGATTTATGTAGCAAAGAAATTATGGAAATGCTGGCTGTGTTTGGCACCAATAACGAAGACGGATACTCAAGATGGTTAATGTATACAGATGCAATAAGCTTGGGCAAACTGATGATGATATTCTAGTAGAGGACAAAAAGTTGCAGTCTTCAGTATAAGAAATAATTTGCAGACACGAACCAAAAATAAAGGGAAAAAAAATCAGAAAACGCCTCTCACAGCTTAAGTCCAGTTGGTGCTTCTGAGTTTTAGCTTTATCTTGCCTTGCACACCTAGGTGAAGACCATGTTCCCTGGGGGGGGGGGGGGTTGTTGAATTTAGTGATATGGAGTTGGTGACTCTGGCAATTACATCTGTACTGTAAAGAATTACCCTCAAGACAGTACTGTGGAAGAGTGATGGAGGCTGCCATAAGTTCATGTATCAATGATATATTAGAGGATGAACAGGTAGTTACAGTACAATAAGAGCACTTGGAAACAGTTGAACTGGTGACCAGGGTTGATGGAAAGAGCTGCCTAGGGTTTGAAACTGGAGAAAGGCGGAAGGTGAGCTTGTGCTCCAAAGACGTAACGAGATCCTAGAAGTAAAGAACTTGAGCAGAAGAGAATGGTTTTTCCATTGGTGGGAAGTTGGTTGATTTGTGGCCACAGCATTTCTGATATTGATGGGGTGGGGAGTTGATACAGTCTGACAGATCAAAATTTTCATCCTATATTGACCATATGCAGAAAGTCATGTCTACGGAAGGAAATATTGGCAATGTTAAGGTGCAACTTACAGCTGCCTCTGGAGAATAGTGTAGCATTACTGATACTGCATCTTAGTCAGCGAGGCAGGAAAGTAGGTCATGTTCAAAGTCTGACCAGTCTTTGTCATAGACAAGGCAATCAGCTGGGGAGAAGGAAACAGTTCCAGTACATGTATTAAGGAAGGAGTGTGGTTTGGCAAGAATAGGTTTACCAGGGAGATCAATCATAGTAGATACTCCTTGGGCTTGGAGCTCAAATGTAATTGACAAAGCATGAGCAATCAGGATGGCTGTGGAAACTTTGCTTGTTTTAGGAGGCATTGTTGGAAGAGGGGGATATTGTCAGAGTAGATGGCTGTTGGGGGAATCACAAAAATTCAGTCCCACTTCCTTCTCTTCCACATCAGACATTCTTTCTTATTTCACAGTGACTGTGCTGTCTTCACAGCCATTCATCAAACTTCCTGACCAAACACATCTAAATGTGTTCTTGGTGGAACACTGAATGCTCCAAAACACCTGACTGAAATGTGCAGCTTGTAGTTATCTCTACAAGGAAAACACTAATCATCAGCCCTTATCAATTTTAAAGGAACACAAGCTAAACTACACAATCCCAAGTTCTATTAATATCAACTGGCTAAATTACATTTCCACAATTACTTCTTTTACATCTATTTCTACAGTATAGCATAAAACCCATAAGCTATAAGAAAAGCATTCCCCTCGACCTGCACAGTCCTCCATATCCGTAACACTCATTTCTGAACCTTTATAAGTTGCAACTGTAGGTCAGTAGTGGCTCTTGCCTTTCTCCCTACTTCTGTTCCATTAAAACAACCAAGGAATGCACTCCCATCTCCTCCTTATCCTCTACAGAGCCCTACAATGCCCCCTTCTCCTCTACTAACTACAGTTGTGCTGGAACACACATAAAGGCCCTGGTGGCATACATTACTGTATGCCACATCTTCCAATTACCTCCTAATTCTATCTACTGACAGTCTTCAACAATATTTGGACAACTGAATATTCTTCTCCTCACTACCTGGAAAGAATGGTCAATCTATGCCTCATGTGGCTGGTACCTTGAGTCCAACAGCCTTCTATCTTCTCAATTTGGATTCTGTCATGCTCAAAGCAAATCTGATCCACTGACACACTTTAAAATATTATATCATATCTGCGTGCCATAACTAAGTATTAGCCATTTTCTTCGCATGATACTACATGGCAATACCGTACTTAAAAAGCTATCATCTCATGATGTGTGGGAACATGGGTGTATTCATTAACTCATTTCTTTCTAATTGTACCTTTCAGTCACATTTGCCTCTTCAACTTCCTTTCCTGAATTTGAAGGTGTCCCACAAGGGAGTGTACTTAACACATTATTCCTTCAAGCCATAAATAGCTACCACCAGGTATCCGATCCTCCTTGTATGTAGATGATTTTATCATTTCATGTACTTACTCTCAACTAATCCAGTCAGCAATATCTTCAATCTCTTCCGGGGCCATTGACCATGGCTACAGCTTTTCCACCTCCAATTCTTCTCCATCCTTTTTTTTTAATCACTTACAGGTCCTCAACCTCCACCCTCTTTATAGGATTCTCCTCTCCACTTCCGCTCCTCAGGCAAATTCTTCAGTTATTTTTGTCTCCAAACTTTCCTGACGAGACCACATCCTCTACATCAAAGGAAAACCTGCCACCACCTCCGACTCCTGGGTTACTAGTAGAGAAACATGCCTTTCCTAGGCTGCAAATGTGATGAGTGGTTCAGGTAATAGAACATAAATAACTTTCATGCAAGAAAAATACCATAAAATTTGCAGCTAAATAGGTATTAGAGGTTTAATTCAAATAATTTTTAAATTTCATTTTTATTCTTGCTTAAAATTTGAGTATAGAAAGGATTCCTGGTCCCTGTAAAAAAGCATATGGGAGTCCTTACGCTTCTATGGAATATCATTATTACGTAAAAGCATTGACTAGTGATGGACAACACACTTTTTTTTTTTGGAACTAATTACTTTGAATACTTTTGCAATTAGTAATCAATTACTTTCACCTGGAAATAGATTATACAGTGGTGTATTTGAAGAGTATAAGGTATACATTTCCAGTTTTTGTGTAGTCTCTCTTCCTTCCAAGTATTTGTACAAGAAATAACTTGCACCACCTGGTAAAGAGAGAGAGGAGAGAAAAAAAAGGGAAGTAAATAAGTATGTAAGTAAGTGTCATAGTGAGTTGTGTTAGATTCAAATATACTGAGACAGTTCTCAGCTCAATCCTGACTCTTGAAGTAATTGTGTGGTAATCTATTACTGGAAAATATCATTGATTGCTGGGAAATTTTGTGTTATAATCATTTACAAGAAACTGAATATGCCCACCACTAGTATAGACCAATCATGCAACACAAATTAAGTCCAAAACTAACATTTAGATAAAAAATAATAATAATAAAAATGAAGAAATATTATGTATACCCAATGATTAGTAGTTACTGAACTGAGACTTGATTTGTACTAGAAATGTTACAGAAGCAGGACTGCTTTAACCTCCAAAGACCAGTTTCTTAGTCTTGGCTGGCTGTCCATTGCCAGAGAGCTCAATTTTACACATGAGAAAATGTATCTCATGAAAATGGAAGGGAGTGAGAATTTATTTGGGAAAATGGAGGTATTTGTGCTACACATCACAAGAATTCTTTTGTACTTATTGCACTCATTCACTTGTAAAAAGTGCCATGAAGTGCATGTACATGCAGATTTGGGGTGATGTGTATCTAGAAGAAACTTGCCAAACAATACCAAAATTACTTAATCACACCCTACCTTCCATTGGAGAAGAAGAAGAAGAAGAAGAAGAAGAAAAAAAAAAGCGGGAAAACTGCCAACAGCTTAGAATGTCAAAAAGTACAAATAGAATCAGTCAATCACCATCTGACTTCAGGGGTTAAAGAAGTTCAACAAAACTAGCCCAAAACTATGCGAAAGAACTTTGAACAACCTTTAAATGGCTACAATATCTTGGTTTATCTTGGCTACTATAACAATTATAGATATCAAAATACATGCAAAATCTATCAATTACATCTAAAAATGATTCCCTCTAGACTACTCAAAGTAACAAACAGGACAGTTAGTTGCATGGGCTGCAAATTAAACTTATAATGGATACAACAACAAAACTCAAAGAATATATTGTGCAATGGAGTCTGGTCTTTCTTTCGTTATAACCCGTCTATAATTTGCTCTTAACTGCCTTCTTTCTCACTGAAACCATCGCATCCAAGTTTGTGGAATTATTTAACCTACGCTATGTTCGTAACTCCTCATACAACTAGTTGGACAAAATGTTTTACCTTTCAAAACCCCCATTTCTGTGGTCATGACAAATTTAGATTGTGTGTCTCCCCAAGCTCTGCAGCTAGGGCAGTAGGAAAAGATGATGTCACAGTGGTATTTGCATACAATGATAATAACTGACAATCCTAAGCTAAATGGTAACCAATTTTATGATGCTTTGGTGTTGTCATTAAAGATTAGTTTTGTGTTTGTCACTTACAGGTAAATTACATATACAGAACATATATATGTAATTTAGTATATATTATAAAGGCACTGGTATATTGATATAGAATGTAAACTTTAGAGCTAGCTGCAATATAGATAAAGAAGGTATTGGAGGATTTTGTACAGCCTCATTGCTCTGGTGGTCTGGCAAAGCAAGATGAGGAGTTATAAATATAGCATTATAAATACATTTCAATCTTATAAAATTCTTTGATTTGATATCAGTCTTTAAAAATAAGGCTTCCCTTTACGACACTTAATAAAATAATTATATTTTAAAAAGAAAACATAATGGTGTGGTTATAAGCTGATATAGTTTCCATACAAAACAGAGTACATAGTTTTGCCACATATTTGGAACATGATTTATATGAAAAAATATATATATGGTCTGGAGTATTATTCATCTGCCTTCCCTTTGGCTGGGAAGTCCTTACACTAGACTATATTTTTCATATATGGTTAAATAATTCCCTTACACAGTGTTCCATTATAAACACAATACTGGCCTTCACGATTTCACCTAATCGTCATCTGCTCCAACTGCCTGCAAAAGAGACAATGGAAAAAATTAGGAATCACCCTTGCTAATTGTATGTGGAAATATTTAGGGGAAAGGAACATACGAAAATTGTTCCTTTCTCATTGAATATTCAATATCCCATAACATAAATGACTAAAAATTATTTTTTATGTGAAAACAGTTTTTTGCTGTTTGTTTTCTTATAACCATAAAAAGTGTAGCATAAGAAAGAAAGAAAGACGTAAAAAAAAAAAAAAAAAAAAAAAAAAAAAAAAAAAAAAAAAAAAAAAAAAATCTTCAATTATTATACCAGTGTTCAGCCATAACAACTGAACAGCGTCATCCATGCCACAATGTACAAAAGAGATGACTGTCTGCATTGGAATAAGGACAAAAGAATCGTGAGAGGCTTGTATAAGAATGGAAAGCAGCCTCCAAGACTGTTAACCCATTCGCGACAGGGAAAATGAACAAAAAATAGGGAAAATGCTGTGCTCATTTTTTATATTTTTTTGTGAAATGTCTCTACACATAGATGGCTCTGCCTTATCTGATTTCACCTTTCCTACAATTGTGTTATTTTTATTATAAACATTATAATTACTATTATGTAATACACTACAGTAATAGCAAAATAAGAGATCGTAAAATATTTTCGTAAAAAAAGAAAAAAAAAAAAAAAAAAAAAAAAAAAAAAAAGGGGTAAATGTGTGAGACAGGCAGTGCTCGTAATTGGCTCATTGGTGATTTAGTACAAGTGTAGCCATCTATGTGTAAAAACAATTAACCCAATGGTGACGGGTGAAGAAAAAAAAAAAAAAAAAAATCTACGCTCTGGCGAACCATGGCAGCACGCCAACTTTGAGCGTGTGAGTTCGGTACATCAGGCCGAATCACTGGCTCGCCACCGCGGCATACAGCCGCACGCCACTTTTCGAGCGGTTTGTTTTCAAGCCTAGTGGCGTCACCGGTTGTGAAGGGGTTAAACAAGTAAACTCATAGTGGGCATGTCACGGATACGTGACAGCCCGTCGCGAATGGGTTAAGACTCAGAGGGTGAACAAAATGAATAAGTTTGGGAAATATGATGCTGAAGTAATGAGATTCCAGCTTCAATATTTCACATAACCTTATGATCTCATAATAACCCTCGCATAACTAAACAAAAATCAAAATTAATGATAATAATTATGTCCTTCAGGCAAGGTTCCTCCTGAAGTTTAACCACTACATTACTCCAATGAGATTTTTGCAAACCACTGCATCATCATTCAATAAACTATTACAATCAAATATACTATTCTTTTTTATACTCCCTTATAACTTCAAAATAAAACAAACCAATAAGTACAACACTATCACGGAAAGGTAAACTACAAAAATCAAATTCCTCCTGTCTGAATGGCTCCACTTACTTGACTTTTTAATTCAATATTTTTAAGTGTGAGGAATAACTTCTACGAAAGTTCTAAGACCTGGATGATCGAAAAGCTGAAAGTAGGCCAACTCTACGATTCAACCATTCTTGTAAACCACCCTGAAGGAAGAAAAAAACATTTAAAATAACTGATCTTTCCCTATGTTCTGTAGAATGATTGTAATAAAAAGCAATCCTTCTGCTTTACATTTCCTATAAAATTTCCAGGTAAGAAAAAAAAAAAGGTCTCAACTATGATTTTTCTTGCATAATAACTTTCTGATGTACCAAATGACAATGAAGATAATGAATCTGCAAAATAAGACTTAATGAAACGGAGCCAAAATAAAAAAAAAACAACTAAACACTTCTGGCTGGAACAGCATACGGTATCTTTCTTGATTCATGGCCTGGTTGACTTTCTCAATCAAAACACTGAGGATTGTTTATTCTACAGAATACCTCACTGACTATTTTTACAAAACTGCACTTCATGTTTGCAGAAATAGGGATGCCAGGGATCACCCCTATCTTGGGTCTTTGCCCTGGACTCGACTAATTTTGCAAGGTCTTCTCTTCGTCCCTCTCCTTTTCCTTCTCTAACCCCTTCTACTATCCACTTCCTAAGGTGTGAGAGCTATGTTGAAAGGATGAAAGGATGATTTTGTGCCAGTCATGAACAGCCTGGGGGAGCCATGAACATGGTATTCCCGTTTAGTTGTCTAGCCTTTACCCCTCAAGGGGACTCTGAGGGGTGGACAATTTCTCTCCCCAACATACTCCTGGCTTACCATGGCCAGTAATGGAAATCTTGTACCCCTATTGGGGTTAAAAAGGCATGCCCCTTAAATAACAAGCCCCACTGATTTGAATTCCCCCAGTTCCCTGACCCCAATCTCTCCTTTACCCCAATGCCGCCAGGGAAAATTAATCCTTTCCCGATGGGCATTGCATGCCATGCTCACTGCGAGTTTACTTGTTTGATTGTTTTTACACATAGATGGCCTTTTTCCCTTTTCTTTGATTTATGAAAATATTTTACGTTATCTTATTTTGCTACTACTAATGTTTGTAACATTATATTAATCATAATGTTTATAATAAAAATAACACCATCGATATTCATAGCACTAGTAAAAAGTACATTTTCCCACCAATTAAAGCAGTGGTTCCCAAACTTTTTCTGGTCGTTACCCACTTTTCATACATGATCCTTGTCCATGGCCCCCACCCCCAACCATAACCCGTGACTACAGTGACTGTCTACAGTCCTACACTCATTAGGTCCATATAAAAACCACTCTAGCAAGCAAGGCATTGCACAAACCTGTACTGAACCTGTAAGTTCCCTCCACTGGCTGCTTACCCGCTAAACTCCTTTGATTTTATCTCTACATAGCCTCAGATTATGGCCCCCTACATTCTGCTATATGGCCCCCCAGGGAGCCATGGCCCCCAGTTTGGGAACCACTGAATTAAAGGAAAGGTGAAGTCAGGTAAGGCAGAGCCATCTATGTGTAGAGACGTTTCACAAAAAATATAAAAAATGAGCACAGCATTTTCCCAATTTTTTATTCTTTTTCCCTGTCAGCAATAGGTTAATAAAAAATGGGAAAAATCCTGTGCTCATTTTCTATATTTTTGTGAACTGTCTCTGCACATATATGGCTCTGTTAGTGCTTAGCCACAAAGGAGTCAATTAGTAGACCTTGTGACCTTACCTGATTTGAATTGGGGGGAAAAATGTATTTTTTACTAGTGCTATGAATATTGATGGTGTTATTGTTATTATAAACATATAATTACTATAATGTTATAAACATTAGTAACAGCAAAATAAGATAACATAAAATATTTTTTGTAAATCAAAGAAAAGGGAAAACAAGCGAGACAGGAAGTACTCATAATTGGCTCATTGGTGATTTAGTAGAAGTGTAGCCATCTATGTGTAAAAACAATCAAACAAGTACTCACTGTGGGCATAATATCATATGACTTTTGATGTCTGATACATTTATTTATTTTGACCATTAATTATTCTAGAAATCCACAAACATTGCTCTACTGAATCATAACACTTCCTTACTCAGATGAGCTTAGTCCTTACCCACCGTGGTGCCCAGCCACAGCAGTAACCTCCAGGCGACAATTGCAACTTCTCGCGCCTGGGCGGGGTGCGAACCGCCGACCACTCGGATGAGAGGCCGACACGTTACCACCCAAGTGTGGTGGCTCCAATAATGTATATCATAGGGACTGCTCTACCTACAAGTTTGAGTGTAAGGTGGCAACTCTTAAATACAAACTTGGCCTCACTTTACTCTGAGACAAGAAGCACGTCAGCAAGATTTTTTCTCTTACTCCTTACTATAGTGCTGCACTTCACTTCACCCTTCCCACTTCCTACCAAGATGTTTCTACATCCCCCCCCCCATTCTATTCCTCCTTGATCTTATGTTCCACTTCTGTCCCTTTCCTCTCCCAATCAAATTCTTCTGCAATTCTAAATCCAGACATGCCAATCTCTACCACTGCCATGACACCTACCCCTCTCTTCTTGCTATAAATGTAGCAGACAATCTAAACATTCCACCCCATCTTCTCCAACCACACCTTCTTCCTCTACCCCTCAGATGCCCATCTCCTCTTCTCTCTCTCTAAGAAGACCTTTGTGTCTCAGACCTCCTCAACCAAATCCACTTCAGAAACTCTCAAAGACCTTCAAAACGATCTAACCATGACCCAAGATAACGTGCCTACACCTCCTCCAACCTCCAATCTCACTACTCCTATTACCTCTACACTCAAACTGCCAACATCCATCCTCCTCCTATTCAGTTCCCTCTCCACCCCTTCCTCCCACTCCCTCCCAACACCTCCCATTCCCCCTTGCTTCATCACCCCTTCTTTCCTCATTATCTCTGTGACCCAACAACCCCCTTCCCTGGACTCTTTCCCTTTGACCTTTCTCCTGAAACTGTGATCTAATTCCCCATAAACCCCCTTTCTCCTTTTGCTAGTCCCTACCTTACCCTACGGACATCCTTGCAGAATCCCCACACTTCTTCCTTTGATAACTTTGATCTAATTACTCTTGTTAATCTCTACCTTAGCCCATTTACTCACCCTCTCTCTGCCATCCTATGCTGAACTGCTACACGACTTTAGACATGCAGTATATTTAATCACTAATCCCCCTTTACCCTTTCCACTACTACACCTGTCTATAGTCTGTCTGACAGCCGTGCTATTAAATGTCCCCAGAGAGTAGGCTTTCCCCGGAACCAGCTTCCCCCAGTTTTCTGTATTATTAAAGTTTTGTGGTTGTTCAATTTCACAGGGTCTCTGCATAGGAGCCCCACAAAATGAAAATTTAGAATATACTCAAAGAAATGTGAGCAAAAAAATCAAAATTATTTTTAAATGTTATTTGAAATATACTATATGGCTCTCATTGTACTATATGACATAAACAAAACATATAAATAGTTTTTAAACTAATATTGCACTACAACACCTGAAAGATTAGTTTTTGAGATATAATATTGCAGATTTCAGAAATTACAATAATAACCATATATTAATGACTCACATCTCTATAAATATATATATATATATATATATATATATATATATATATATATATATATATATATATATATATATATAAATCATAAATGAGTGTATGTGCCTCCAAAGGTATTCTTGGACTAAAGGCCCAAAATTGTATTTATTGCATATTTTGTTATTCTAACTTTTATCTGTAACATAAGTTTCAATTCATTCACATTAATACACCACAACAGAGTCAGAGTACATTAACATGATGCTTGTGTTATAGACTGAAATTTAAATTTATATCAATCTGTATGTTACCATCATTCAACAAGACTAAGGTTAGATCAATTAAAACACTGAGGCAGGAGAGAAGTCACTAGTCTGAACGTAGGAAATTTGCAATCCTGGCTGATTTATTTAAATTTTTATATAGTAATTGCTCCTGTTGGCAACCCTGAAGCTTCCCATCTACAATCAAAAGTTTTGAGTGTGACTATGAATATGACAGTTGACTTTCAGATAGTTGAGCATGACGCTATCTTTCCCCCAAAAATAACTATGAATTTGGCTGTAAATCATAATTAAGCCAGCACTAAGCATACCAATTGCAGCACGTGGGAGGCATCAGGCGTACTAACCAGTCCCTGCAGAGGCCACCAGGGAAGAGGCATGTCCGAGCTGTTTAATATTATATCAAATCTGCCTTGGACCTCAGCCCTTGCTTTTCTTTTTCTTCCCTTCCTTTCCCTTTTCTTCTCTTTTCCATCCCCTTCTTTTGTCCAATTATCCTAATTGTTACCCTCGTTGTCACATTACTTTATCATATGCTGTATGATTTTTGATGTCTGGCACATTTATTTATTTTAACCTTTAACCATTCTGGAAATCCACAAACACTGACTTATGAAGAAGATGAAGACGAAGACGAAGACGAAGACGAAGAAGAAGAAGAAGATAAAAAAAAATCTTACCTGGGGCTTCTTTCTCAAACCCACCCAATAGTTATATTTTGAATAAGCTGTTAATGAAAATAGATGTTGTGGCAGCACAAAATTTTCAACAAATTGTGTGCTGTTGTTTATGTGTGTGTGTATTTGTGCATCCATAGATGTATAGGCTATATATTTCTTACCTTGGCAATTTCCTTTACAGCAAACACAGAAGCAACACCAAGGCCAAATGTAAGAAGATATGGCAGGTACTTTAAGCTGGGAGTTGCACGTTCCTTGAGCATATTGCTGAGGAACTTCATGTTACTCTCACTGTATGGTGGGTAACGCTTGCTGTGAAAGAGAAATTCATAAATCAGAAACAGGCTAGTTCATATTACAAAAACTATCAGGGACTGTAAAACAGGTGCAGAAATCCCTCTTTTCTGGCACACCTTTTGGGGTGGTACGAATATAAATAAGTGAAACCTGAAATAAAATCAACAACTCCCAGAGTATGAGGTATTTCTTAGGTATGGTGACTATGCCTTTTGGGAATAATCTTTGTTTCCCTTGCCATAACTAGTAAACCACACCCAATCTTTTCAACCCAGCCTCACTAGCAATAAAACTTTGAAAATAAGCAAAGAAATTACTCACGCTCCAATAACATCGGCAATCTTGTTGTAGTTCCGAATGAGGCAGGATTTACGGTGAGTAAACGTGTCAAAGGAAGCTTTGCCATGATAAGCTCCCATACCACTGTTTCCAATTCCACCAAATGGAAGGTCATGAACTGAAGACATTAGAAGATTTAATATTAGCATGTACATATACATATTCACTAAAAATGTCCTTCACACATTATAAAACTGATACTGTATTGAGACAGATTAAAAAATGTAAAGCAATACTGAAATTCTGAACTTAACTGTATTCACTGAACAATCTGATGAAATAATGAATATAGCAAAAAAATATATATCTATGACAGAAAATATCAAAACTGTTATTATAATGCAAAGAAAATTTATCTACTTTGCACCGCTTAATTTACAAAACACACCACAAAACATGAATGATACAGCATCCCAAATCTTGAGTAAGATGTCCAAAAGACACTAACAGCAAACAACAAAAACTTACATACATTAAATATGCATGCATTCTATCAAAATCATGCAATATCATAACAGGAAGCAGGAAGTTGTAATATTCTTCCATACTAAATAATGGTTATTTAAAAAAGAAAAGTTACTAAAGTCAGCAAACAATTACATCATCCCTGTGTTCACTTGTGTGGTGCCGGCAAAATCAACCAAACAGTCTAACTGATAAAATCTTTCGTAAGGTGTTGCATGGTGAAGAGGGCAAGAGTTTGAGGTCGTTCACTTTGCCTCACAGCTCATTCATCACAACAAAACTGGCTTCCACTTTAGAGCCTGGAAAGTATATCTGTCTGAACTGCAATATGTGTTT